CCATATCATAATAATAGAGCGCCGGCGCCTCTACCGACGCTCGCTCTGATATGCCATAATTTATGGAGGCAGCGCAATAAGCATGCGCAGAGGTTTGCCCCTCGCCGCCCTCTTCGCTGCAAAAAACTACCCAAGGACGCGAGCTCTCATGGAGCTCGAGCGAGCGAACGCCGGCCTGAGAGTCGCGGCTGTAGTGGTGATAGTGGTGATATTGGTGCTGCGGCAGGCGGAGGGCCAGAGCAACATCGACACGAGACTGCCGATCATGAGACGGTCCCCGGGACGGACGGACGAGTCGCACGGAAGCGATCTTTTCGGCTTTGCAATCGCCTTTCACGAGATTGAAGAGGTTACGTTAGAGACGGACGGAGCACAGGAAGCAGCAGACAAAACTAGGTAAGAAACCCTTTTCCTTGCGTGCAAATATTGGGCTCTTCCAAGCTGATACAAAGCCTGTAGGAGACACAAAATCCCTCCCGCACAAGCCTGTGACGATAAATGTTGACTAGTGTGGTAAGATGTGCTTAGCTAATAGTTTCCTGAAGTCACGAAAGTATTGGTAGTTCAAAGTTGTGTATAAGCTACAGTAGAAACTTCCTAGGAGAGCTGAGGTAGTTACTGGGAATGCAACAACTATCTTAGCTACCCTAATATTTTACACCATTCAGATGAAGATGAAGAGTGTTTTTGCTACAAATAGGTATTCAAACTCATATGCATGGGATGACGAACATGTAGTTGTCTTATGGTCCCTTTGCTATGCTCTACCCTTTCTTTTGTAAACACTCATTCTCAATCCAACAGACTAATAGTGGGGGCTCCCCAGGGAACGTTCCCAGGAGGACTTCCTCTGGTGGACCCTGGAGGACGAGCAGAGGAGAGGACTGGTCTGGTCTACACCTGCTCCATCACTCCCGACAACACCGAGGAGCTGTGTGGAGCCGTGCCGGGAAACGATCAGACTGGAGTTGTAATAAACAGTTTAACTATCTCCGTCGACAACGACTTCCTATCAGCAGGGAGCAGGCTTTTCGATCAGAGACGTAAGTATAGGAACACACGTTACCTCACACACATGCACACACGCACATGCAAACCCACGAAAAAGCACGATTAAATTCCTCGCATAAATAACTATTTATACGGTACATCTCTACCCCCATGTACAGCAAATGCTCAGACAATCAACAGATTTGGCAGTCTACGACAAGCTGAGCATAAGACGGACCAGTTTCTGGGAGCAACTGTCTTCAGTCGTGACGGAAGACTACTGGTGGGAGACACTACTATATAGTGTGCATGTTTGTATATCGTATGTATAATAGTGAAACTTCTGAATAAGGGACACTATGTACATATATGGGGTCAAAGATCCACACATTCATGAAAACTCTCCCTGACGATGATCAATAACAACTACTGTACGTATATACAGTTGCCAGACTGCAGATTAGGCGGATGACTATGTATATACAGTGGAACCTCTGAACAAGGGACACTATGGGGCCAACGATTTTGTCCCTTGTAGAGAGGTCGTCCCTATCTCGGAGGTCAAATAAAGTATTAGCATGGGGTTGAGTCTCTTGTAGGGAGGTCGTCCCTATCTCGGAGGTCAATAATACACACTGAAGCGTTGAAACAAGTGTTGTTCCTCCTCACATCTCTCCCTTACCTCCCCACCAGGTGTGCGCACCAATCTGGACGCCATTTGGTTTATACAACCCTGTCATAAGCCGAGATGGGAATTCCCCGGCCGTCTCCAATGCCTTGCCGCAGGGCCGCTGCTACTATACCAACAGAGAACTGACTGACGTTAATTTCCTCGACCCGTGCAATGTGCAAGTCGAACAAATGGCCCAAGTAGACCGAGGCTACTGCACCACTGGAACTGATGTCGACATGCTGGAGGTGGGTGTGGTCAACGGGAGGCGTGGTCACAGTGGGTGTGACTTAGAATTACATTGTCTAATTACCCCCCCTCTCTCTCTCACTCTCTCTCTCTCTCTCTCTCTCTCACGCTCTCTCACACACACCTCTC